CTGAAGAGTGACAGGAAAGTGGGAGAGAGAGAGAGGAGATGACAGGCATCAAAGGGCCACAGGTCAGATACGAACCATGGGCCACTGCACCCTCCCCCCCTCCATCCCTCCAAACCCCAATCTCACCATTTGTGGCTGCTGGCACACTCTCATCTGACAGAGGTGGATGGTGAAGATGGCATGCGAGCGGGAGCTTTGGGCATTCATCTGGGTGCTGGCTGTGGTGCGGGACAGAGCACCGAGCTTCAGACACTGCAGCATCTGCAGCACACATGCACACAATATGGACAACATTTGGTTATGATTGAAAAAAGATTCAGACTCAGTAACAAAAACAAATATTAACTGTTGACACACCATGCTATTTTGTGGATCACTTGCTGATTTCTGAGAAGAGCTCAACACCAGTGTCCGCAAATTGTATGGGGGTGGGAAACCACTCATGTGGTTGACTTCAAACTTAAAATTTTTTTGAGCTTTTCTACATCTCTACACACTCAAAATGCTGCACCTGCAAGATTTTCTGCTTATTTTTGCCCCACTGATGAGTCCTACTCTCCCTTTTACTCTCAACCTGACTCCTCGTCTCTTCTCACACTCCATCACCTCCCTCACCATGTTTTGACATTCTCTCTCCTCCCCCCCACAGGAAAGCCCATCTGTCTCTACTTGTCTCTCAGCTGTCTGAATTTTTGAGAATTTAATGCACGGATGACCACTTCAAAATGTAGCTTTTTCTTCTTTCTTTCTGCTTCCATTTAACAGTCTGCTCACATCTTTCTTTCTGCTTCATCACTTATTTAAGAAGAAACCGAACAACAACATGTGTCTTCTCCCAGACAGCATTTACTGTAGCCCTCCCCCCGAAATCACCACCTGCCACTTCCGTTAACCTCTTTGTCCCTGGCACCTCACATCTCCACTAGCAAACAGTCCTCCTGCCCTCTTGACCCCATCGAATCCTCCTTCTTCCACACTGTCACTGCTGTTCTGTTCCCCTTCCTGACAATGATTACTCAACCCTGATATCTGGCAGTTTCTCCCTCAACTACCTTCAGACAGTCTTGCATCAAATACTGCAGACTGGTATTGCTCACACAAAATAACATCATGGGTTTAAGCAGCCTGGCTTTAAGGCAGCATGTCAGAGCCAAGTCTCCCTTGTTATCCTCGACCTATTTCTTGTTTTTGACGACTGACCACCAGATGGTTCTTGCCAGACTTTCCGGGGTGCTGGGGATCTCTGGCTCCCACGCTCTGCCTCTACAACTCAGCATTTATCTTCACAGTTATTCTTCTGTGATACAATTCCACTCATTTCTACATGATGAATCTACTTATTAAGGCATTCATGATCCGAGTTTCTTTAATTCTCTTTCATTTTGGCTCCTTGAAAATACTAAGCACTTAATCATAAACTTGTAAAACTTCCAGTTTTCTTATTTTGTTTGAGTTTCTACGTGAAATTTAAGATGACTGATCAGAATTTATTAGGAAAATGGAGGCATTTTTACTGGACTGAAACCTAATGAGTACATTATTAAATGTGCTTTTTGTAAACAATCAAAGAAAAAAGTAAGCTCTGAAAAAAGTACTGCATTAAAAAATAAATGGCTAATTGAGTTTTATGACATTTAGACCAAGAAACATTAGCAGAGCAGTTACTGCGTAGTGTGTACCGTGTACAAAAATACCTCATATTGAAAAAGACAAGATCAAATGTAAGAATGATGACTGCTGTAGACATACACATACAATACAAACAACAACACAAACACACATGCACCCACCTCCTCCTCTGAGTGCACCAGCCTGGAGGTGACTCCAGTGGTGTAGATGCTGCCGCTGGCATCCTCGTGGATCTTAATGTTGGACTTCCTGCTGCGACTCTCTAGATCTCTGGATCCATCAAACAAGTCCAGGATCTCTTCGTTGTACAACTGTAAGCAACACACATGCATCATTGTATAATTTATATATACCCCAATTCTATGGCAACATTAATCATTAAACTTAATGATGTCATCTATTCTCTTCTTTTCTCATAGCTGTCTTTCTTATTTACACACAGGTCAAAAGAATGACCTCTCAGAAGCCAATGAGGGCCAAAGGGCACAGAGGTCAGCTGCATCTGTTTACCATCAACAGAGATAACATTTCGACCTGACTACTAACCATACTAACAACAAAGAGCAGGAAAGGCAGAAAATAAAGAAAAGAAATAAGAGAAAGCTAGAAAGA